GAGTGCGAGGGGCGGGGCCGGAGTGCGAGGGGCGGGGCCGGAGTGCGGGGGAGGTCTGGCCTGGAGGGGCGCCGAGCCCTGGGGGAGCGGGGCGAGGAGCGGGGCGAGCTAGAGGGGGCGGGGCGTCAGTGGAGAGCGGAGCTGGGGGTGGGCGGGCCGGCCCGGGCCTGCAGACGGCGGGTCCGGGTCTGGGGGGCGCGGTGTGGCGCGGGGCGCGGGCCAGGGTCCTGGGCGGGGCCTGCCAGGTGACCCGCCCGCGGCACTGCGCAGACTACCACCGCTGCCTCAAGAACACGAGCCGCCGCGGGAAGAGCACCGAGCCCTGCCTGTACTATTTCCGCGTGTACCGCTCGCTGTGCCCCATCAGCTGGGTGAGCGGGCGAGGGGCGCGGGCGGAGGGGCGGAGGGCTGGGGCTGAGCTGAGGCGGCCCGCTGCTCCTCTCCAGGTGCAGCGCTGGAACGAGCAGATCAGGCAAGGGACTTTCCCAGGCAAAATCTGACCGCCGAGCGCGGTGTTCCCAGCCTTCAGCGCCGGTGGCCCGTCTTCTCGTGTCAGGAAGACCGGCCTTAGTTACCACCCCCCCAGCCTAAGCCACCAATAAAGTTGTGCTGTTGCTAGTGTTCTTTGGTGATTCATGGGGGTGGGGCAGGGCTCTGGGGGCCTGTGTCCCAACACTGCTTTTTCTGATAACGGGGGATGGGCAGGGTCAGGACACTGCTCCCTCAGGAAGGGCAGTCAGGGCTCTAAGGCAGGAAGATAGGAAAAAGTCGAGGGCCCCCGTGCCCCGATTTGGTCCAGCCAAGATGCGCGTACCCCAGTATACCCAGATGGCTCCAGCGACTCGTGCCTCTCAATCCCCACATCTACCTGTCACCCAAGTCTTTATGCCCACGGCTCAGCCTCCTCCCCTCCTGTCTGGGTCATCTCCTTTATCTTCCCCCACCCCTTCCACCCTGTCCATCCAGTCTCCAGTTCTGAGGGGTCTTCATATTGCCCAGAGCTGCCCATATTCCTCCCTGCTCACCCTGCTCTGATGCTTTATCTGCTTTCCACCATGTCCCACCTGCCACCTTTTTCCTCTCTGAGCATCACTGTGCCAGTCACATGAGCCCCCTTTCCTAGTAGGGTTCCTGGGATGTGTCATCTCCATCCTTTCCATATCCTGAGGGACAGCAGCAGCAGCCTCCTCTGTTCTCTAAGCAACAGCACCCCCTACCCCTGTATGAGTACATGTGCACACAAATGACCCCATCTGTCCCTCTCCCAACTTGGCACTTTGGTTTCTCCCAATGCCCCTTTGGGAAGCTCAGCCTCGGCCGAATCCTTGCTCTTTCCTCATCCACAGCAGCTGCGGAACCAAGCTGCTGAGTTGTTCTGGTTCCAGGTGTTCCTTGAACTATGGCCTCTCCCCAGGCCAAAGAGTGGCCCTTGACAGAGCCCAAGGGTTCCAGGCTGGTTCTTCCCTGAAACTTGCTGCTGCCTAAGACTATCAACCTCAAATGAAAGCTTGTGAAGGAAGCCCTACATCCTGATCCAGGTGGCCTCAAGAGGCCCTGCTCAACCCAAGGCTCAAAGGTGACTATGACAAATAATAACTCATTGGGTGACTCAGCTGTAGATGGGTTATGTTATCAGAATAAGCAGGGCAGGAGGGGCTGGTCAGTTCAGAGGACTAGCTCCATCCCACCCTCACTCCATGATGACCTGTCCAGCATCCTGCCCAGGGCACATCCCACAGGAACCATCTCCTTGGATGGCCTCCTACTTTCCTGCCTCTGAGAAGCAGGGTGTGGACATGGCTATGGTAGGGGGGGACCACATCTGGTCACTGAACAACCCCAAAGCCACAGAGGTGGCACTAATGCTGGAAGGGAAGCCAGAGGGCAAGAACCTGGAGTCAAGCAAGGTTGGCTGTCTGAGGACTTAGTGAGGTCACCCAGGTAGTGTCCAGAGCACAGGGTCAACACCTGTGCAGCCATGACTAACTTTTTCCTTCCCAGAGCCAGTGTTCTGAGCTTTCTTTCTGCCTGAGGCTGCCTCCTCCTCTCCTCTCCTCCCCACCATCATTTGGCCACTTCCTGGTCTCTCATTCCTGGCCTCCCCTGCCAGGGCCTGACTTGCCTTGCTTCCAGCCTGGTGGGCCATCCCACCACAAACCTCGGCCAGCTATTCCTGCCAAAGGCACCCGGTGTGGCTTCCTTCACGGTCTTCCTTCTCCCCCTCCTCCCAGCCTACTGACAGACACTCTGCCTTGGTCACACTTGTTCCAAAGGCCCTGAAGGCCTGTTTCCCTTCATCTCCATCCCATGACGCACTGCTGCCAGCTTGTTGTTCCATGGCTCCCAGCAGGTTGGTTCTGGCATCTGCATCTTTCCTATCCCGAAGGTCCAGGAGCCTGGATGGGCTCTGACAATAGGTGCAACTGGACTGCAACTGGCCAGTCACATGACCCGGGATAGACCCCCTAGACCCTTGTACTGTGAACTTTCAGCCCCAATACGGTGATGATACCCATGATTCCCAGGGCTGTGGGAGAGGGTGAGAATGTAGAGAAGCTGGATGAGCCCAGCTGTCCTCAGCGTGTGGGCTGTCTACAGAAACAACTGGAGTCACCAGCAGAGTACAGAACTCAACTCTGGTGTGTACTGTTGTGCTGGACAGTGGGGGACTAGATGGGCAGAGGGATGACCCATCACTACAGTCCTGTAGCTCCTGGAGGCATCTGGTCTACTTGAGCTCAGCACAAAGGGTCACAAAGCACTCCCATAGGTAGGAGCTGAGTCTAGAATGGAGGGTCCTCATGACAGGGCCCATGCCCGCCAAGTCTGAGAATAGTACAGGTGCCTGGCACATGACAGCACCTGGGTCCCATGTTCTCTCACCGTTTTCTGTTTTAACTTCTATCTGCTTCTGCCTGACTACCACAGTCTCTCTGTTCCTTCCCAGTTTCCTGCTGTCCCCACACATATGATGGAGTCCTCAGGCCTGGGACTTAACCCATCAACCCTCAGACAATTCCCTCTTCCCAAGCAGTTTCTTCCCTTCTGGTGACTGAGCCACCATGTGAGCTCATGACATCTAGCTCCAGCTCCACTGGAATAACCTCCAGGTCCCACCAGTGGGCTAGTGCCCAGAGCTTCCCTGTGGCACCCCGTGGTCAATGTGGAATCCCAGCCAGGGAACATTGGGCAGGGCTACCCTCTCCATGTGTTCCTGTCTATATAAAAGATAACCCTGGACATACCTCACCTCTCAGGGCTGTGCTGGCAGCCCATCTCCATACATAAAGAGTGCCATCTTCTCATGCTGGGGCGCTTCACACACGCTAAGCAGTACTCTACTTGAGCTGCACCCCCAGCCCTCTTTGTTTTTAGTGCTCTAATCACTGATTTTTAACCATTTTTTCCCTTGGGTTGTGGATACTTTAAATTTTTTTTTTTTTTTTTAGTTGTAGATGGACAACAATACCTTTGTTTATATGGTGCCAGGGATCAAACCTTGTGCCTCACACATGCTGGGCAAGCACTCTATCACTGAGCCACAACCTGGCCCAGGTGGATATACTTCTGAGACTTTGATGAAGGCTGTGAATCCCCAGGAAAAAAAGTTCACATGAATAAGTATTCAGAACATAAACTAGACTAGGGTTTCAAGAGGTGTGTAGAAGTTCCAGTCTCCAGTCCACAAATCATGGGATAAGAACCCCTGCTCTGCTATCATTCTGGTTTTTTTTTTTTTTTTTTAAAGCATTCTGTCTAGAAACCATGGTGACAATGCCTGAATTTCAAAAAGCAATCACTTTTGGGCACTCTTGTAATCCCAGCAGTTCAGGACACTGAAGCAGGAAGATGGAGAGCTCAAAGCCAGTCTCAGCAACTTAGTGAGGCATTTAGCAACTCAGTGAGACCCTGTCTCTAAAAAAAAAAAAAGGGGGGGGGGGGGAGGGATGTGGCACAGGGGTTAAACACCCCTGGGTTAAATCCCCAGTATCAAAAAGAAAAAAAAAAAAGTAATTGCTTCAATTTCTGCAGGAAGATAAACTCTTTAGTGCCCATTACAGCAGAGATCTCTTTCCCTCATAACTGCTGAGTGACCTGGAGTCCCCTCCTCCTCATTAGGAATAGGAGGGAGAAACAGCAGGGTTCGGCAGGAATGGCACTGTAAGAAAGATTTCCCTTTGCAAAAGGAATGATAGGCCCAGTCAATCTATGCAAGTAAATTTTATATGAAAAAACATTTCTCAAGTCCACTGCCAAGGTACCCTGCCCAGACCATCCACAGCCCACGTGGCCCAGTGCTGCTTCCACTTTCCTATAGGTTCCTTTTCCACCAGGCTGAGGATGGGCTGCTAATACAGATGCCTGGGGCCTTGCCTGCCCAGGGTGACTGTGTCCACAGCTGGCTGACATGGAGGAAAAACACAGGGGCCTGCAGCCCACACGTGAGCTGTAGAAGTTAGTGTGGTCTAATGAGGACATCTGTGAGGTGCTCAGGGGAAGCCTAGAGTCTGTGAAGTGCTGGCCAGTCAGCAGCTGAGCCATTACTATTCTATCCTGTCAAACAAGGCTTTAGGGTTGCTGTGAGTTAACAGAGGACAACAAAAATCAAGATATTGGGTTGGACTTGAAGAAACAAGACAGCAGGGGCTGGGGCGTGGCTCAGTAGCAAAGTGCTTGCCTTGCACATGTGAGGCGCTGGGTTCGATCCTCAGCACCACGTAAAAATAAACACAAAATAAAGGCATGCTGTCCATCTACAATTACAAAAAAGATTAAAAAAAAAAAGAAAGAAAGAAAGAAACAAGACATAGCAGCACTTATTAGCCCAAGCCTGTAATCTCAGTGGCTTGGGAGGCCGAGGCAGAAGGAAGGCAAGCTCAAGGCTAGTCTCAGCAACTTAGTGAGAACCTGTCTCAAAAAATAAAAAGGTCTGGGGATGGAGCTGTGATAGAGCACCCTGGATTCAATCCCCAGTATTGCCCCCCGACCTCTCCCACACATACAGGAAATGAGACCTGCTTGAGAACAGAGAAAGGCATACCAGGGCCACCTCCTTGGTTGGCCAGGCCCATCCAGCTGGGTGGGGATGTCTGACTTAACAATTGAGAGAAGGGTGCTCAAGTCCCCATGTGCCCTGGGTAAGTCACTCTGCTTCCTGGACCTCAGTTACCTCATATGGAAAACAGGAGAGTCGTTTCCTCCTGGGTCAGAAGGCATTTTCAGGGAGCAGTCTGAAGGGTGATGGGGCTTCTGCCTCCATACTCTGCGACCTCAGAACCCACTGCTCTTTACCCTTTTACGACAGCTCACAGCCCAAGGGCTGAGCCGCCTCCTCACCTCCCCAGCAGGCTGAGGTATCAAGAAATTTCCAAGGGTACTGCTTATAACAAGGTTTTTAATAAAATAAAAAGTTCAAGTGCTTCCAATCCCCCAACATACCCCATTCTGGTGTGGGGAATGGAGAAGCTCGCATACCCCAGTAGCACCAGGGATAGCACCATGAAAAAGATAAGGTCGCACCCGGCCTCCCTGAGACCTGTGGGGGTGGTGAGAATGTGCCCAGACACCACGGCCCCCAACCTGCCCCTACCTCACAGCTGCAGAGTCGGGAGCACATCCACTCCCCATCATGGGGGCAGTCTCTAGGAGGGCCACCCCCGAGTCAGTTCTACCTCCTCATGAGGCCTGGGCTTCTGGGGAGATGCCATAGAGTGGTCCCCACGCACTATGGCTTTTCTCCCTGGAGTGGAAGGACTGAGGGGAGGGGATGGCTCCTGTGGTCCTGAGTGGGGGCAAGGGCAGCAAATGGCCAGGGCTCATTGCTGGGTGTGGGGGTGGCTCAGGGGTCAGCAGTCATAGAGGGTTGGGTATCAGATCCCTGGGGATGTCCTAACCAACCCCGTCCCAGGGTCAGAACTGTGCTGGAGTCAAGGGTCAGCTCCTTCTCAAGAGGTTCCTTCTGGGTCTGGTGGGGTGTCTAAGAGAAAGACTTTCCCCACCCTGCCTGGACCCCCCTGCCTGACCAGTCACGGCTCTCCACTGTTGACATCCAGGTCAATGGAGCCATGATTGACCACCAGCCTCAGGCGCTTGGGCGGGGAGAAGGGGGCAAAGGCAAGGGCCTGCTTAGGGATGGGGATGGGGCCTAGGGCATCAGCTGGGGCAGGGGAGGCTGGTGGGGCAGGGGCCAGACGGCTGAGGTCCACACGCACCACATAAGGCAGCCCGTAGCGCCGGGCCCAGTGCCAGTCCTGCTGGGGGGCCCAGTGGGTGCGAGGGGGAAGGTCCAGAGTCACCAGGGCCTCAGCCCGCAGGCGGCAGTGGGGGCCACAGCCTCCCCATCGGTGGAGGGAGATGTAGGCAGCACGGACAGTGGGGGGCATGGGGGCCTGACGGGGCCGGGGGCGTCGGCGTTTCCGGGGGCGCACTCGAGGCTGGGGCTTAGGCAGCCATTGGAGCCAGAGGGGTGAGATGTCCAAGCGGGGGCCGCAGGGTGGCAGGTGCAGGGGCTGACAGGCAGCTGAAGGGACACAGAGGGACCAGAGAGGGAGAGAAAAGGGAGGCCATGTCAGGAGGGCCTGGGTAGGTCCTCCAGTGGAAAATGGATTGTTCTGCACCAGGCTCTTCAGAAAAGAAATGCAAGAAGAGGTGTTCAACAGCAGGTCTGAGAGGGCAGGAGGGTCCCATCGGTCTGTGCTCACCACAAAATGGGTCCCAATGCAGTGGGGACAGGTGAGTGCAGGCCCGCGGGCCCAGCAGGTTCTGCCGGCTGCTGTCCATGCCTCGCTGCAGGCGTCGCTTGGTCTCCCGGAGCTCATACTTGTCCAGGAGCTGTGGTGGCTGTTGCAGCTCCCTGGGCTGCAGTCGAAAGGCTCCTTCACCTTTCCTGAGGGGCAAGTAACAGGGAGGCAAGGGGGCAGCTGGGGATGGATGTGCTCAGGGATTGGTCCCAGGATGCCTCCTGGGGCCAGCTGGCCTGTCCCCATCCCACCTGCCCCCAGCCTGTGCCCACCTCTCACAGGTGTAGCATTCACAGTGCTCATTCTTCTCCCCGAAGAAGCCCTCACCGTAGAAGCATGTCACTTCATCCCCCGGCTCAATATCCCGCAGCACCTTCACACAAGCTGTGTTCCCATCTGCAGGCACAAACTGAGGCCGTGCCCACTTAGCACACCCGCCTGAGGCATAGGCTGGGCCTGACCCCCTCCCTCAGCCTAGCCAGGTAGGTTCTAGAGTCCTCTCCTGGAATAGGTCACGGCTGACCCACCAAGAAACACCATTCTGAGATGGCTACCCCATCCAGGGCCTGTCCTATGCTCTCAGCCTGTAAGCGATCTGTCTGCTGGCTGGTGTCCACCCCTCCCTGCAGGAAGAGATGAGCTGCCCTGACCTCCCAGCACAATGCAGCACCAGTATGGGTAACAGCTCCCTCCCGCACACTTCCTCAGGCTGCTCTGGCCTGTGCCAAGACCCACCCCTGAATGCACCCCTACAGCTGCTCACTGTCAGCCTGCCTTGGGCAGCCCCCCTTCCTGTGCATTCTGCAGCCCAGTGTCCATATCCTCCTCCCTGACTCTGTGATCACCTGCCCAGTGGGCTGTCCCTTGGGTTCCTCGCCTTCTCCATAATCACACTTGCCTCTACACTCCCTAAAGGAGGGGCAAGAACACTATCCATCTGTCTACTCAAGCCTGACACTTGCCTGAAGTGGCCTTCAATGCCTCCTTGCCTGATGGTCTCCAGGCCAACTGACGAGCACCTTCTGCATCTTTGTCCTCTTCTGGTCCCTGGATAGCTCCTGCAGCCAGTCCCTCATCAGCTCAAGCTCCATGACACACTAGTCTGCAAGGCCACCCTGTCCCTTCCCACTAAGGCTTCTGCACACCTGCTGCCATCACTGTCTAGACAGTGAACCTCCTATTATGCACTTGATTGGAGTGTCCATGGCTCCCTGACCTAGACCATGGCATCCCAGGGCACACTACGCCTCATTCCAGCCAGGCCTTCTGGCATGACATATCCTGCTTGGAATGCCTTCTCATGCCCCTGTTTTCTTCCAACACCTAGGAAAATCCTGCTCTTCCTCAACACCCAGTGTGGTGTCACTTCGTGTGAAGTCTGTGGGCTCCGGATCACTAAGCGAGCTGGCTACTCCCTCCTGTGCCCATCTGGGTTTCCATCCCACCCTGTGTCTAGGTGCAGGGTGAGACGACTAAGCAAGGGCCGTGTGTCATTCATCCCCAGATCCTCTGAATCTGATGTTCACCATGTGACCCCTACAATAGGGGCATCTGAGAAAAGAAACCCAAAGCCAGGCAATGTAGCCAGAACCCCACCCAGCAATGGCTGCACAGAGAACACTCGAGGCCTCATGGTTTCTCGCCTTTCCTGATCCCTTGGCTCTGTGTTCCAAGCCAGCAGCATTCTTCCTGCTGCTGGGCCACCCAGAGTTTCCTGTGGAGCCCCAGTTCCTTATCACTGGGGGTCTCTTTCACAGCTATCTACAGGAGAAGCTGGGGTGAGGGGCCCTGGCTGTCACTAAATGTGATGTGACTCCCTATCCCACTCGGCCTCCCTTTCAGAGGGCTGGAGCCAGCAAGCTGGGTGCTAGCATGACTGCATGAACAGCCCACCGGGAAACACATGCTTTCCCACTGTCTGTGCAGGGCACTGTGACCAAACCTCTTTGTCAGGTTGGATGCTTTCAGGCTCTCTTGGCCCCAATCACTCCTCCAGGCGGCTGACCCCTCACTTCCCACATACTGGCTCCTCTCTGGCTCTGCAGGCCTTACCTTACAATTGGGCTTGCAGTCTGCAGCCAATCGGATGAGGAGGAGAGAAGAGACGTGGTGAGCAAGTGAGGGCAGCGACCTGGCCCTCAGTGCCCACCCAAGCCCCGCCCTCACCGTGGTTGATGAAGGCGGCGGGGCCCAGCCACAGCTGTGCACTCCTCTTACGGGTAGAGTACATGATGCTGAAGTCGTTCTCCCCAGCCCTCAGCAGCCCCTCGTCCGCCTCCCGCAGCTCTGCGATGCAGCCCACCAGCAGCTCCAACTTCTCATTCTTCTTCCTGCCAAGAGGCCAGGGCACAGGGCTCTGAGCACGCCTCTGCTGGGGGCGGCCTCTTGCTCTAGAGGGATCCAGGAAGCTGAGGCTCCAGCCTGCGGACTCCAGGGGGCAGTGCTAGTCTCTCAAATCCTCCCAGCTCCCGACCTATCTGGGCTGCACCTCCAGCAGAGGAGCTGGTCTCCCTTCCCTGCAGGCCCTTTTACCAAGCACGGGTGGACACAATCTTGGCCCCGTTGGTCTCCATGGAGTAGCGGGTGCAGGGCAGGATGGTGAAGCCGCTTTCGGGCAGGAAGGAGCGGAGGTAGCGAAAGACCTATGAGGTGTGGGGTACGGAGTGAGGAGATGAGCAGGGGCAGCTGTGGGGGCTCCTGTGCTCTCTGAGGCTAGGCCTGCTCTACCACTGACTGGCTGTGTGCTCTGGGGCTTTGTATCCCCTCTTGGGGTCTCAATTTCCTCATCTGTCAAAGAGGTAGGACTCTTAGAGGGCTGTTCTCCTAGGATTCTCTGAGTCTCCTCAGGTGTCCCAAGGGTGGGCATTAGGGCCACAGGGGGCTGGGAGGAGCTCCCTCACGTGGATCTTGAGGGCAGCCTCCTGCCGCGGGCCCCGGCTCTGGAAGTAGTGGGCCATCCAGCCTCCCAGCGTCAGGGCCCGGTATGCAGCCTCCAGGTCCCGCTGCCTCAGGAAAGCTTCCAGCGCTGAGCGCAGGTGGTGCTGTCGCCTCAGGGGGGGCACAGGGCTGGGGGAGAGGGCACACCTGAGTCCCAGGGCCTTCCTGGCAGTGCCCCCAACCCACCTGGAGCTGCGAGGATGGGCTGAGGCCACCAAGGAGCAGGTCTCACCCACCCTACCCTTGCCCCCAGGCTGCATACCCCTGCCCCCAGGCCACCTCACCTTACGTTCATTTTATGGGTTCGGAAGCCGAGGTAGGGATCCAGGACTAGGCTGGTGGCCAGGTCGTCGTTCTCACACAGTTCTCGGGCTGTCACTCTGTCAGGGCCCATGGTGTTGCAGGGACCATGCTGCCTCTGGCAGACCACAGAGGGCACCAAGGAGCTACAGGCGGGGGGCGTGCCCTGAGCCACTCAGAAGCTGCCTGAGACACTGCGGGGCCCTGCAGTCTGCTCATCTGTAGAATGGAATGTGAGAACAGCAGCACTGACTTCACAGGGCTCTCAGAGGGTGAGATGCAACAAGTATTCTGACAATGGGGACACCCAGTGACAGATCAGCCTGCAGCTTAGCACCTCCACCCCTCCAGCTCTGCAGTGCAGGCACGAACCCCCAAACTCACGCAACAACCTTCCCTGCAAACGCACACCCTTGCAGGCCTCCCGTACATGCAGAGCCCACTGGGTGGCAGGCAGACAAGTCCCTGTGGGCTCAGGGAGGCTGATTAATTGGAGTCTGGGATAACTCTAAAAAGCTCAGCACGGCAGGAGGCAGGAGTCAGGGGAGCTTGGGAAAAAGCCAGTGTTCCCAATATGCCCAGGACCCACCTTCCCCCCTCCCTGGGCCACTGTCTCCACCATGTACTCCCTAGCAGCCCTCCGGAGAGGCTAGGAGGCTTTGGGTGAAGCCCCAGGCAGCCAGGAGGGGAAGAGGGGAGGGAGAGCAGGCAGGGTCTCAGCACCTGCGCCCTCTCCAAGGATGGGGGTGCTCAGGACAAAAGCGGGGGAGGAGGAAAGGAATTTAGTACAGAGAAGTGGAACAGATCAAAAGAAGGGGGGAAAGGAGCAAGAATGAGAGAAAACGAAGAGATTAAGAAAAACAACAAAACAAACCCTAACTCTGAAGGAGGGTCTGCTGTGTACCCATACCATGGTGCCTCAGGCCCATCTGTGTCTTGGGAGAGGGGTAGATGGGGACCGACCGGCAAGGAGGGGGAGCAGCAGAGACATCAGAAGCTACATCAGCTGGGAGAGGGGTCTGGAAAAGACAGGAAGGCTGGGGGCAAAAGAAGAGGGGGTACTGCAGGAGCGCACTAGGAAAAACACTGAGGCTGGAGCCGCATGTGGGTAAAGAAAAAATCAAGCCAGGAGGAAGGGCAGGGGGAAGGAAGAGCTACGGCAAGGGCCTGGGGTGCGGGGCTTCCGGGAAGTGCTGGGGCAGGCCTGGGGGTCCAGGGGGAAGCCCAGGAAGGCGAGGGGAGATTTGGAGGCCTGGGATCCCTGGGATCCCGGGACAAGCCGGGCAAAGACTGGGGAGTCTAGGGTGGAGCCTGGGGAAGAACCGGGTTTGGAAAGTCTGGATGCTCCCAGGAGGCGAGGGAAGGGCCTGGGGAATGCCTGGGGGGTCCTAGGGAGAAGCCTGGGAAGGCACTGAGGGTCCAGGGGCAGGGCCTGGGGGGTCCAGGAAGGTCAAGTGGAGGATCTGAGGGCGATCCGAGGTCCCGGAAGGGACCTGGGGAGTAAGAGCAGGGAAAGGCCTGGGCTGAGAGGGGTCGGGGAGGGCACTGGGTGCAGGGAGAGCGTCGGAGGAAGGCCCGGGGTGCGGAGGCAGGGAGACCCCGGGCCAGAGCCGGCCCTGGAGTACACGCGGAAGCGGTGCGGGCGAGAGGGGCAGGGAGGGTCCTGAGTGAGGAACCACGGGAAGGAGCCGCGGCCGAGCCCGAGCCCGAGCCCGAGGCCCGCCCGGGGCGGGGAGACGTGGGCGCCTGGGCGCGAGGAAGGGCCGGGGGCAGCAGGGGCGGGGGGCGACTGGGAGCCAGGCGGCGCGGGGCGGGGGCCGAGAAGGGGCTCAGAGGTCGGGCCCCGCGCCGCCCCTCACCCGCTTCTCCTCCTCCTCCTCCTCCTCCTCCTCCTCCTCAGGCGCCCGCGCTGCCGCCGCCGCCACCTCCCACTGCCTCCTCCGGCTCTCGTCAGACCCGGTCGCTGCACCCCGCCTGCTCCGCGGGCCCGCCCCCACAGCCGCCACGACCTCCTATTGGACAAAACCACCGCCACTCAGCCGTGGCTCTGGCTCTCGCGCCACTTCCATTGGCCGAGTCTCACTCTTTCCCTCCCCTCCCGGCCCCCCTCGGTGCCCCGACAAAACCCCGCCACGCCCGCCCTGCCAAAGAGCGCTGTGAACTGCTGCCAGTGGCTCACGCCGCTGTCCGTCAGCGGCTCCCCATGGAGATATTTCCCGCCTCCTCCTCTGCTTCTGCCCCAAGTCAACGCCCTCATTGGAGGAAAGCGCGGTCGCTCGGAGCGAAACTCTGGTGGGGTCGGGCTATTCTGGTTCCAGAAGAAAGAGGGCGGATTGTGCCGGCTTCAGAACTTGTATGTCATCGGCTAACCTTGGGAAGGGCCATCTCTCCATTGGCTAAGGCTCCCGCCGGTCCCTCCAGAGTCGCGACCTCCCCATTCTCTTTCTTTTTCAGCCACCAGAGGGAGAAATCCGGGCGGGAGAAAAGGAACGTGCTCTCGCCTCCCTTCCCCGCGCCCCGCGAGGCCTGCGGTTGCCAAGGCGACAGAACTTTAGTGACAGCCCGGCCTGCTACAAAGGACTCTCCTCCCACCCTCCTAGGCCACTCCCTCTCCCACTTCCCCGGGTTCTTTCTGAAAAGGTGTCCCCGCAAGCACTCTGTGGGGGCTTTCATGCGATACGAACCGTGGGAAAGAGGGACCACTGAGAAATAGGGGCTTTGAGGACAAGACCTGCTCCCCTGGGGAACCCCCTTAATTAGGATCACCCCTTGCTTCATTCTGAGGCAAACATAATTAGCAATTCATCATAATTACGTCCAGAATAATAAGCTCCACACTCGAGCAGAGGTCTTTGTTTTGTTTTCCACTGTAGCCCTTAGAACAATGCATGACACACAGTAAGTGCTTTGTAAATGCAAATTGAATGTATGAATGGCCAAACAATAGGGATAAGGCTGACAGTTTCTGCCTTGCCCTTTGACCTTGGGGAAGTGTCTTGCCATCTCTGAGCTTCAGGTTTTCATCTATAAAACAAACACACCAGTTTGCTTCCAGCTTCCCCAGCTCCATGCTTCACCCTAATCCCTCCAGTGCTCCCTCACCCCAGCATCACTCCAGCTACAGGTGACCACACCTTCCTCTGGTCACCATCACTTTGGGCAGGTCCAGTGCAGTCAGAGGAGAATCAGATCTGGGGTCTTGTCCTTGAGTGGCCCTGCAACCTGCATAGCAACACAGGTGGGCAGAGGTGGCAGAACTAAGGCAGGGTGACCCCTGGGGTGACTGACCTGGTCAACATAGTGCCCTCAGACTGGGAGAGACAGACCACCAACTTCAGAGGGGAGAAGCAGCTTTATCCAGGGAAGGGGAGACAGCAAATGTACAGAACCCCGCAAAATGCTCAGTTGCCAGACATTCTAAGTAGGTATGAACCTCAAGAGTACAGCCCTTCTACTTGGGGCTCTTGAATGGAAGGAGGAGATTATACAAGACTCTCGCCAGTGTTTCTCCAGCAAGAAATGAAAATGTCCCAGCATCCAGCATGTAAAGAATGGACAAGTGGATCCTGCTGTAGTCATACAAAGCAACATTGCAGGTGGTGAAAGCAGACGAACCTGCACTTCCTTATCCACTCCAACAACCCCAGCACAAGGTTTTTCCGGTGTAGAAGTCTACATAGCCAAATGCCATTCTTTGCATCCCTCAGTACTGGGATTGAACCCAGGGGCACTCCACAACTGAGCTACCTCCCCAACCCTTTTTATTTTATTATATTGATAAACTGCCCAGGCTGACCTTGAACTTGCCATCCTCCTGTCTCGGTCTCACAGGTAGTTGGGATTACAGGTGTACACCACCACTCCT